GGGATGGTGGAAAAGAAGATGGAAACTAACTACCTCACAACCAACACCAACAACATGACATGCATTCGTCCTCCCGCAATCGTTCACTTTGTCGCAACGGGTGTGAAGAATGAACAAATGAGACTTACCTCCGTGCTTCAAACGAGCCAGCTAGGTCTGAGTTATTCGCAGGAGCTTTGCTCCCTGTACGCCCGCTATAATAGTAGTAATACTAGTATCATAATAGTAGTACTAATAATGGGTTATATGGGGATAATGGGAAAGAACATTGTAAGCTACTATAATATGAAGATCTACCTAGCAAACGTTGTTGCGGAGCGGACAGGTGCGTGTTTAAGTGAACAATGTTGGCTATGCCAAGTCCGCACATGCATCCCGAAAGCCGGGCAGCTCGAAGTCTTGACTCAACTTACACTTGCGCCCAAGCCAACTGAGTAGTATTTTATTTGGGGATATTATGGTACCCATTATAGAGTAAGATCATATCCTCCTTTTGGGGTATAGTATTTTGTATAAGGAAGATAATCTTACGAGGTTCAACCAGCAAAAAAACACTACTCAATTTATACTTGGGCCGAAGCCAACTAGGAGGGTCATGGGGACTTAGTGAATGCAAAAGACAATGGAAATTACTAAATTACTTAAAGTTTAGGGTTTTGGGGTCAGGGCTGGCTAAGTAAGTAGGTTAGGAAAAAGGGATAATCAGGGTTACTTTATGGGTTATAGGGGTTGTTAACCTAATTAGCTACTAAGTCCCCCTGGCCCTCCAAGTACACTCCTGAATACTTGGTATCTTAAGAACCTCAAGTATGCCGCAGAATCCCAATTTTGGTTCTGTTGTTTTTGTATGCGTTTTTGCCTTTAGCCCGCCCGATTTTTTTACACTGGTCCCACAGCCCTGCAGTGAGTTCTCTTTGCAACGATCTCCAAACATCGTTTTAAAATCATTGTTTGCTTGTGTGACCCGCCAAGGCCCATGGTGCCTGGGAAGTCGCCAAATCTCTGGGGCCGGAGTGCTCAAGGGGATAGGGTTTAGGGTTAACTTAAAGAGGGTCCCAATATTAGATTTGAAAACGCTTTCTAAGCCCTAAACCACAATAATCAGTGGGATGCATGACTCAACCCTTGCGCCTCCCTGACAAAAAAGTCCGAGGATGCCTCTTAAAGAGGCGGGGATGTCAAAATCAGGACTGCTGGAACTTCCAGGAGAGTAGGGGTTTCTCGAAATTAGGGGTAACTTTTTGGGGGTCCCCGTAATAAGGAGGATTATAGTATATTGGGGAAACTACCATTTAAGGCAAAGGGATCATGTAGATTACTTTAGGGGCAAGTAATATTTAATGGCTGTAAGCTTGAAAAGCCGTATAGTCACCCCAGCTACCGCCACAACTAACCTACCTACTGAATAAGTCCCCCGGCCGCTAAACTCTAAGCCGTATATGTTCTTGTATTTATATAGTCCCATATACCCATCTATCTGAACAACCCCCCTGGGTTTGAGGGATCTAGGGTTTGGAACTTGCGCCCTAGCACGTTCCCGTTACCCTGAGCGCCAGTAAGCCGACCGCGGTGAGAGTCCGTACGGGGTCTGGGCATAGTATGTGGTTTTAGCCGGAAGGGTTTCCGAGGACAGGGACCATAAATTTGACAGCCCTATGTAATCCTTCATAGCCCTGTATACTCCAAAACCAACCCTACATAACTCCTCTAAAGCTCCTAATAACCCTTATGTAAAGCCTGTATGACCCCTATATTATTCCCGTATAACCCCTCTGTATTATAATGTCTATAACTAAAGAGCCTCCGGCTCAGT